TTTGTATAGCGGATATCCCCGCTCGACAGCAGACTCTATGCGCTTGACACTATATTATTACCCCAGCAGACCATAGAACACTCAGAAGCATTCTCAGTCAGCTTCCAGGGAAGCATACGGTGCAAGCAGCTGAGTAAGCGCTCAAGCACTAACAAAAGGACAAGATTTTTCACTGTCTATTGCAACAAAATGAGCCCAATCCTGAAAAATAGAAACATATCAATGAGCACCAAAATGAAAGTCCAGAAATGCTATCTGTAGTCAACCCTTCTACATGGCTGTGAATGCTGGACAATCACTTAAGACAGTGAAAAATGTTGTTTCTTAAGAGACTGCTAAGAGTATCGTGGAAGGAAAAGAAATCAAATGAGGTAGTGCTTGATGAAGCCCAAGTGGGACGCTCAATGTTAAAAACAATCAGGAAACGACTATAAATGCAGTTTTTGGGACACCTGAATAGACATAAAAGGGTCTTGAAAATCTAGCTCACACTGGCAAAATTGAAGGCAAACGAGGAAGGGGTAGCCAACATACTTAGGGAACCTAAACAAATGGACAACAGGGAAAGATCAGGGAAACGTAGCTTTTTTAAGAGCATCCGAACTAAGGAATGAATGGAGAACCATGATCGCCGATGTCTGCCGCAGATCTGGCACTGGATGATGAGGATTGCAGGGTACTCATTCCCACCAAGGTGAAGTGAGGAAAATTTGTGTAAAGTACCTTTTCCAAGGACACAACATCGGCCGTAACGGGATTCGAACCCACAACCTTACGGTTGTGAGTGTGGGAGCCTCACCACTAGGCCACAGACACCACTATTGCAATACTTTTATACCACTGCTGGTGTTTATCTAAAGCAAAAACATTAACAACGAAAATCCCAACATCACGACATCAAGAACAGCGACAAAAACATAAATAATCTTCACTAAGAAAAGAATTACAGAAGTCGTCATAAATATCATTTCTTTCGTTCGCCTTTTTATTTTTACATCATCATGGGGCAGTGTTGATTATGTTTCAAATAAAACATTCTTCCCTGTCCGTCTGTCTGTCTGTCTGTCTGTCTGTCTGTCTGTCTGTCT